CTTCTAATTTGTGTTTCCCCAGAGTAATTTTGTTCAGAAGATTGCCAGTATTTTCAGTACAGTAAGTTTCTTGTTACTTGTACTAACACATGCTGATTCCTTTTTCTGACCATAGCTTGAGTGTTTTATTTCATTGTATCCTAGCATCTGTAGATCAACACCTCATTAATTTAAAATAAATAAATGAAGTCTGAAATGCAGAGGTTTAATGAAACCTTTGCACTACTCTCAAATGGAATGCGTATTACAAATTAATATACATATGGGTAACTAATAAAGAGGTATATTCATAAAGCATGATGATATACATCAGATATCATGAATCTCAATGCCCTAAATGTCTTCACTTACCTCAAATGTTTTACTTAATAAAAATCAGGTATACCATTTGTAAATGATCTAAATAAAACATCAGATATACCCTTCCAGATTAGTGAAATATGAATTGTAAATGAATGTGTCTACTTTCATTCATTCAATCTTGATTAAGCACCTTCTGTACACTCGACATTATGTTAGGAACTTAAGTTACAACAGTGGATAAGCCTGGTTGCTTTTCGAGGCTGACATCCTAGAGGGGTGACAAACAAATGAGTAAGCAAATTTTAAAAGGAAAAAAAAAATACTCCTTGTGATAAGTGCAACCAAGGAAATAAACAGGGTGCAGTGATGGTACATAAGTGCGTGAGGGTGAGAGCAGTGCCAGTTTCTATGGAGTGGTTAGAGAAGGCTTCTTCTACAAAGGTGAATTTAAGCTAAGACCTGAGCGATTTCAGGATATTTCTCCAAGGTCACCAAATAGGCAGGCTTACTTATTAGGCTGCCAAGACACTTTTTAGCACTAGAAAACAAGTAGAAAATGGCATGTGTTGCCCACATTGAATGCAGGTTCACGAGTGCACCAAGCTTGCCCAGCGGGCACTCTGCACACCAGCCGGTTAGGACAAAGGAGGTTACACATCCCCAGACCACTCACCCAGAGAGGGTGTAAAACCGTCAACATAAACAATAGTGGGCCAGTCAAATGACCAGCCTTTGGGATATGCAAGAGGAATGTATCCTGTTGATTCATACTTCCTCATAACCACTCTGACTGACAAGGCTCAAAGCATTTTCAATGTATTTCATGAGTAAGTTACTCCCCTGTCCCAGGGAAGAAGGGATGTTTACAACTATGTAACATATTCCCTTACTTCCGTTTGTAACTTACCTAACTCAGTAGATACAAGAATACTTTAAAACCCATGCTGTAACCTGTTTCTTTCTGTAGGTTCTTTAGAGTCATGTAAAGCCGTAGCTAACACGCCACTGACACAGAGTAAGAAATCTGTGGAATTCTCCCAGCGTCCGTATTTAGAGAATCCACATTGCTAAGCAATTACTTCCTTCAAATGAACTGTCCTTATGCTCAGAGCTATGATAATCAGATTTTATCACATTTTTAGCCTCTCATTATGAAATCCCCCTTTCCTACTGCTAAATGGATTAAGATTAAATGGAACTGCTTGGCTGACAGGTGGCATAGCTTGTGACTTGGATTCTACTTACCTGGAAGTGACTGTCTCCTCTAATCGCCCATGTGGAGTCCAGGATTGGACCTACAGATACTTATAACTTGCAGTCAGAAAGCCCAGTGGTATGATAGGAGGGGCATGGGACAGAATCCCCTACCCAGCAATCTTTCTCCTTCCATATCAGCCTGTCCCGGGCCTGAAATGACCCTACTGTTGAGTTCTCTTGGAATTTTTCAGTGCTGTTTTTTTGAATCTTTACAAATCTTTCTGAAAAATGAAAATATCCCTAAGGAGATACTATGTTAAACCATCGCTTTAGCAGGATTAGTTGACAACTAGCCTCAAGCAGTGCGACTCAGAAGCAGTGCCTACCTGTAGACCCGGAAAGGTCAGAAAAGCAAGGAGTGGGGAGAATTTGGAGGTCACTAAACACAGTAAATGTCACCATACTTTACTCAAGCTAATTCTCACAATTTCAAACACCAGCGGTTCCCAAACACCACTGGAATCACCTGGGGAATCTGTAAAAACGCTGATACCTGGCTTCCACCTCACACGTTAACTACTGATATGGGGTACCACCTGGGCATCTAGACTTCAAAAGCCCCCAGGTAATTCTCATGTCTAGCAATGTTTGGGAGCCACTGACATAGGAAGCACTGCTCTTAATTGCTTTCTGGGATGCTCTGATTTCCTTCAGACATCAGGTTCTCCCACACCAGTGTTTCTTGACCATGGTAGCACATTAGAAAAACCTAAGGCAAAAAAAAAAAAAAAAAAAGAAGCCAGAAACTCACCAGCTTAAGATTCTGACTTAACCGCTCTAAGGAGAAGCCCAGCATCTCTTACTTCTTTCCATGCCCCAGGTGATGCTAATGGTCAGTCAAGGTCGAGAACCATGTTGTAAAGCCTAGGGACTGTTTTCTGGAGACTATAATATGATTGTCCCTGGAGGACCCAGAAGTGCCATTCTTCCCACTTTGTTCAGGTTGGGACTAACCCCGAAGGGCAATAACACACTTCCCCAAAAGGGCTGTGGGGAAACTTGGGGGAGGGCAGCAATGGGTGGAATTTACTAAGCCAGAAGCAGCAGAAATGTTAGAATAAGGAAAAGCACTGGTCCCTCTCCTCCCGCCCACGCTCCCCACCCCCCAACTTTACTGACTGGCATGAGAATTTCCTTAGAATACTTCTTGGAGGTGGCTCAACCCTGGATTTTGTCCCAACACACTGTGACATTTCCTGTCCAATCAGAAACCCTGGCACTGCAAAGAAGCAAGACTGGCCGGCCTGGAGACTCCACTCCCTGTGCCATGAGTCTCCCAGGAGGATTTCTGCACCACCTGGATGTCAATCGTCCTGCTCTATATCCTCCCGGACCTCGCCCCTCAGCCCCACTTCTCCTTCCTTCCCCCAACGCTCAGCGGAGTTGAGAATCATCTCCTAGACATACTTGTAAAAGATTCGCTTCAAGTTTTTACATGGGAATCATTCAAGTAAATAATGTCCTTAAAAGACGGACGTCTTCGACGTGGCTTGGAGACGTGGGTGCTACTTTGGTTAAGTATCTGCTAACCCACTTTGGGGCCCGGCCAGAGCCACGCGTCTCGCAGCCGAAAGGAAGTCCGCGGAGACCCACCCCACCGCGCGGCTGCGCCCACTTGGGGCGTGGCTACTGCGCCCCGTTTCTCCCCGCAGAGAACGCGTCCCCTACATCGCTTTGTCTACGCTAAGCTGAGTCAGTTTATGAATGAAGAGTAGCACAGACCGGAGGCACTGATTCTGGAAAAAGTCTTCCTTACACCGTTCTCATTAACAGATGAGAAAACTCAAGGGGGTAAAGGCTCTGTGACTCCGTCCGGGTTTGCCACAGAACATTTGTGGCTGAGCCCGATTTAGCCGCCCTTGAATTTCCATTCTGTTGCCTGGCAACCGGTTCAGACCAGCTCAGGGCCCAACCCCGGCCCCCAACCCGCACCCTTTCCCTGCCCGTGCAGTTGGAGCCTCACTGATGAAAAGTTCGGCCTTCTGGGGCACTGGCCAAAGGCATGTGAGCGAAGGCACTGGGCGGGTGACCCCAACTGGGCTCGGGGTCGGGCCCCAAACCCGCGCAAGCCCCGCCTGGCCGGGACTGGCGCGCCTTCCGCGGTCCTTTCGGGACCTCCTCCTGCATCCCTCCTCCCCCAATTCCGTGAATACCACTAAACGCAATCATGTCAAGTTTCCAGAGTTCTCAGCTGCTCTCGGAGTCCCCGGAGTCCCGGTGGGAAAACTGGCACTCAGAGCGTTAAGGATGCAGAACCAAAACAGGAGGAGAAAGTGCTGAAGAGCTTTCTCCTTCCCAGCTGGCTCCACTCGGGCCGGACTTCGCTGCCACAGTCGGGCTGGCGTGGCCCGAGCCGAGCCCCAACGGGAAAAGCGCGGACTGTGCTCCGGCCGCTCACGGAGACGCGCCAGCCAGCGCCGCTCTCGGGACCCAGCGTCCCAGCCCGCCCGCCGCCGCCGCAGCGCTCAACCCCGGCGAGGGGAGCGCACGTGCCGCCCCCGGCCGCGCAGGTGGCGGGAGGGCAACCGGCCCGTCCCCGCGTCCCCGCCGCGCCAGCCCGGCTCCCCAGCGCCAGGGGCTCCTCCACCCTCTCACTCCCCGTCCCCGGGCCCGGGAGACTGGAAAGGGGGGGCGGGGGGGGAAATGATGCCGGTCGCTACTCTCCCCCAGATCCTCACCCAGGTTCACGAAGCTCATGACCATGTCGGCGTCGTTGAGGAAGGCGCTGTCCTGCGCGCTGGTCAGTGGAGACGCGCCGCCGCCGCCGGGCCCGGGGGCCAGGACGCTCCTGCTGCCGAGGGCCGCCTGCCGGGGCTGGGACGAGCCGGCCCCTCCTCGCGGCCCGGGCTGCCGCCTCTCCTCGTCGGAAGCCCCGTCCTCGTCGTCGGCGGCGGACAGGGCGTTGTACAGGTCCAGCATGAAGAGGGGCGCGGACTTCAGCCGCCCGGGCGGGGGCTCCCCGCGAGGCTGCTGCGGCGGCGGCGGGGGCGGCGGGAGCGCAGGGGGCTGCGGCTGCTGGAGGCCGTGCAGGGGCCGGGGCCGGTGCGGGAGGCCCAGCACGGCGAGGATCTCCTTCTGCATCTCCCGCTTCTCGTGCGTCTTGAGCCTCCGGTAGAGGAAGCCCGAGGAGGAGGTCTGCGGCGGCGGCGGCGGCGGCTGCTCCGCGGGGCCGGGGCGCCCGCCGTCCCCCAGCAGCGCGCCCCCGGCGGCGGGCAGGGGCGGGGGCCCGCAGCAGCCGCAGAGCAGTCCCCACCACCAGCACAGCCACGGCGCCCTCCGCCCCAGCATCCCCGCCGAGCCTGGCTGGCCCCGCGGGCCCCGCGAGGCGTGGAGCGGCGGAGCGAGGCCGGAGCGCGGCCGCGGTGGCCCTTGGGCGTGAAGAGCCCCGCCACCTCTCGGCGGGCTCGCTTCCCCTTCCTGGCCCTCAGTCCGTATCTCTCATGTTCGTCTGGGGTGCCCGCAGTTGCCCAGGCTGGAGGGGAGGAGGAGGGGGCGATCCCCGGGAGGGCCGCTAGAGGGGCAGGGGGGGAGCCCCACGCTCCCGCGCAGGTCCCCGGAGGCGCAAGCTCCGGGCCAGGTGCGTCCGAGTCGGGGCCGCGCGGCAGCCGGCGCCCTGGCTCCTGGGCGGGTCACGGCGCAGTCTCTCCGGGGTCTGGCTGCCCGCGCACGTGCGCTGCCTTGCGCCCTCCGGGGCGGCTGGACGGACGGCGGGGCAGCTCACCAGCTGGGGAGGATGCCCGGCATCATCCCCGCGCACGCCTCTCCCCGGCTTGCACGGCCGCCGTGAAGTTTACCCCGCCGCAGGGCCCCGGCCGTGGCGGACTAGGCGTCCCAAGATGCCCACCTTCTCCGCGAGGCTTACACTTCCTTCTCCCTCTCACAAACTCCGCGCCCCCTCCGCCCTCGGGCACGGCACTGTCGCTCCCCCTCAAGATCTCGGCGCGCCGTTCCACTCCCCAAGCGGAGGCGGTGAGGCTCTTGCTTTCCGTTCCGTGCTCGTTCGGCTGCCCTGCAAACCCCGCTCGCAGAAGGGATGGGAGGGAAGCGGACCCGTGCGCGGAGCGGCGGCGTCGGCGCCGGAATTCGCAGGCTCCCGCCTCTCGGAGCCGCGCTCTCCGCAGCGGCCAACGTGGGCTTTCTGGTGCGCGTCTCGCTCAGGTACCGCACTCCAGCCCCCGGGTCTCCCCGCCCTCCTGGTAACGGACAGGCTGGCGGCCAATGAAGAGGCGCGTCTCGCCTGTATTTAAATAGGCCCGCCCCCTTCTTTCACCCTCCCTCTCCCGGGAGGCATCGCCTCCGCCGCGCGTAGGTTTCAAGTACAGAGAATTCTCGGAGGCACCCGAGGAGTGGCGAGGCGGCAAAGGCAAAGAGGTCACTGCTAGGAAGATCTTTGATCTGATCAACACCCCGATGGGAACCTTTCCCTTTCACGATCCCATAAAAGGCCTAAATTGATGCCTTAACTAAAGCAAAATCAGCTGTTAAATCAATGCCACCTGAATCAATGGAAGAACAGAAAACCATCACTTTTTCCCATTCCTTCCTTAGTTTCTCTAATTGATGTAATACAGGCGTTGAGCGTGCACGCGGCTTCCAATGGCAGCTGATGGAAGGTGGGACACACCCTCGGAGAAGCCGTTCCCAAACGCCAGAGAGAGGGCCAAATGTAAGCGATACCCGTCGTCCTGAGGGCTTGGGCTCTGAGTATTTTGATTTATTTCTTCATTTGGGCTTCGGCTTCGCTTCTTAAGCTAGCACCCCAAAGAAAGAGGGTGTAATCAGAGAGGTAGTAAAAAAAAAAGCACCCCCCGCCCCCAGCTTCTTGGAAATGTTTCAGAGCTTCTCCAGTTCGTCTGTTAACGTTGCATTTTAATGTACCGAAAGACAATCGAATTTACATGATGCAAGATCAGTAAAATTTGAGGAGAGGTGGTAAAGGTGATTTCAGTAAGCGTAGGGTCTTGGCATGTCCCATTCAGGATCACAGGCAGGGCCCTGAAACTCGGGTTGCTGGGAGCATTAGACAAGGTCAAGCATGTAAAACCCGTTATAATTTCATGGCAGGCTCACTTCTCAGTTACAGACACTGCCCCCTCCCCCAAACACCACCACCACCATCTGCCATTCCGCATGCACATTCATTTGCCCTCACCCTATCCAAGAAGGCCCAGTTATTGGTGGTTCCTAGAAAGAAGTTCTCTTAAAACGTTATGATCTTTTACCTGGTGAAAGTATGTGTTGAATGGGTAAGGGTCTTTACCTCCCACCATCCCACCATCCACTGGTTCACTCTTAGCTGCTGTTCTGTCTTGGCCCAGACACAGTGGTCTTTAGGACAGACTTTAATTTTACAAACGTCCCGTAGCCACTGATCTCAGGCAAGACAACATCAGCCACACTGAAGGCCAATCTGTAACCACCTGCAGGGATTCTTTTCCCCTGAAAAGAGGAGTACGTCACTACGTGGTCTGGGATGTCAGGCCCCTTAGAATTAGCCTCCATCACTTCTTTCTTCTGTCCGGGACTTGTTACCACCATAAAATCATTGCAGTGCGTAAAATGCCAGCAGCCAAGAGCTCTGATCAGAAGATGTGAAATGTCGGCAGGTGTGTGTGGGCTTCCTCCCAAGGGCCTCCTCCTTTCTCAAACCTAGTCACACCTTCTTAAGACTTCTAGTGAGACGCAAGCAGAGTAAAAGCAGCTCCAGCCCATCAGGGCTGTGGGTAAAGTACTGGAAAGCCGTAAAAACCCTGAGCGTAGGGCACCTAGGAAGGGCTATGCCATTTAAAACACAAAAGCTGACTGTGACCCATCTATTCCAGGTGCACCTATTATATACGCATAACTGACCCGGTGGAGAACACGCACAGACACACCGTCTTCCCCTATTCTTGGATACTTGGTAAGAGGTAGATGGACCTCTACGACATGGGTCTAAAATGGCCCTTAGTGGTTTGTTATCAATTAACATCTGAGCAGCAACCCTGATTCAGGTCTGCCATGGACTTCCCATCTCAACCAAGATGGACTCTCAGGCCCTGTTGCATGACAGAAGAAAATGGGGGTGCCTCCCGATGACAAACACAAGAGCACACGACTCGCTTAAGAGCCAGAGGGGAAATATGTGACATGAGTTATGACAACGATCATAAAGATGGTGACATTCAACCGAGGACCACAGAAGAGGGCGTGCTCTCCTCACGTCCCCACCGCCCCCAACATGTGCACATATTTGTCAGAAAACACTCAGACACGACCTTGGATCCATTAGGGGCAAAGGACATAAAGAGATATGGTTCTGAAATTTTAATAACTTCAAAATTGGGACCACTGTTTCTTCAAGCCTATCGGAACGCTGAGTAGATAAGGGACCCCTAACCACGACCTCGCCCACCCCCTGCTTTTCTGACCACTCCCCATCACCCACCCCAACAATCCCCAGAAGTCCTGGGACAAGGAGTTGGGCAAAGTCCAGATGCGATTCAGGAGGGAGGGAGGGAGGGAGAGGAACAGGTCTGGCTCTGGAGTCTGCTGGGATGTGTGACCGGAGGGAAATCAGAGGGAACTTCGCCCCCTGCAGGACACGAAAATATCACTGTCCCTTGCTCTGTGTGCCTGGACAAGCTTCCTTCAGTTCCCTGCATGGGCCTCCAAAACATCTGGGTGGAAAGAGGAGGAATTCGGTCAAGAAGCCGGATGTAGAAACCAATCTATATCAAACATCTGGTGGCTTGGCTGACATTTCATGCAGATGGCCTTCGGTTTTCTGGACAAGGTTGCCTGTCCCACTCCCACACACGAAATGAGGGAGTGAGGAACCCTCACCGTAAAGTGAAGGACTACCCTGTGCCTTTGGTGGTATGGGGACAGGGCGAAAATACTGTACCCAGGTGTCCGTCAACGCACAGGGTAATTCACACGACAGAGCCTTTAAAAGAGGAGTTACCCATGTTCCTTTCGTATTATGAGGGTTTCTAGTTTACATTTGTGACACCCTTGACCAAATAATTTCTATTTTAAAGGATGCCGCTTATTAATTTGATACATTAAATACCCTATACGCTATGCTTTCCTTTGAATTATCTTATTAGCAATAAACTGCAATTTTTATGCTAAATCATACCTGGGCCCCTTTCAACTGACTTTCCTAAAGATGCAAGTAGCCGCTTTTAGAATTAGTTTAACGTGGCAGTATTATAAGCTATGCTGCTCGTGTGCTTAAAAGCCTGAGGTCTGGTCACCTGGAATCCTTGGGCAACTCCATTTAAAACACCACATTTTTATCTTTAACGTTCACATGAGGATTTGAGTATTTCCTAATATGAATTTCTCAATATAATAATTTGCTCCAACTTTCAAAATATCAATCTGGAGTTGCGTGAAAAGGAAATATGGTAAGTAAATGTTTGCAGAGCACTGAGAAACGAAAATTTGAGAGTTAAATAAACATTTTGCTTCTAAAAGCTACACCTGCAAGGCAGCCTTCAAAATACGTGTCTCATCCAAAAGTCTGTGGCAACACTTACATTCACTCACACTTTCCTGTCACTGTCAACTATTCAAAAATGCTGGGCATTCACACTTCAAAATATCATTCGAGCCATCATATTTTCCTACTCATGAAGGACATCTGGTGGCAAAGTGAAAAACTAATACATAAATCTGTTTCCAGAGATTTTTTTCCACACTGTAACCCAAACGGCAAATCTGTTACTGATATGTGCCTCAGACTATTCTCACCAGCCACAGAATCTTTAGAAACATCTAGAATACTCATTTTTGAAATTTTCATTGGATAACTGACGTGGGCAGAGTAAACCTTTTTTTTTTTTTTTTGTACTGAGTAAAACAATGCTTAACATGTTTCTATGACTAGCTCTACAATCCCTGAAGTTTTTTTCCAAGAAATCATTGGACATTTAGCTCCACTGGGCAGTGCCTGAGGACTCTGAGCTCCACCCCGCCTGTGGTTCCCTCTGGATGTGTCCTGTCCTCAATGTGTCTCTTGTGTGTCAACTAGGAGGTCTCGTGAAAATATGATATTATTGTTCTGCCAGTCCCCTTAACTAGCAGAGCTGTAACCAGGGGTGTAGCGGGCAGGAAAAACCACAGTGACTGAATAAAATCAGGTTAAAATGAAAATCAAGGCCATCTTTTAAAGAGGAAGAGAAAGTCTGAGAAGATGTATACCAACGGGAAGGCAGACGTTGATACTAATCACCCAGTCTGTATTCACTCATTCACTCGACAAATATTTGAGCGCCTGACGTGTGCCAGGCACTGTTCTAGGTTTGGGGATACCAAAGAGTCAGATTTTAGAGGGGAAGATTGACAATAAACAAAATAACTAAGAAAATATATTTGGGTAAGCAGGATGTTGTCCCCATGATTTTTGCCTCCGGTGTTCCACCTGTGAATATGTTACTCTACATTGTAGAGGGGGCTTTGTAGATGGAGTTAAGTTTGCTAAGCAGGTGACCTTAAAATAGGAAGATTATCCTGGAGTTATTAAGTGAGCCCAGTGTAATCACAGGGGTCCTAAAAAGCAGAGGAGGGAGACAGATGAGACAAAGCAGTCTGCAAGGGACTGGAGCCAACTTTGCTGGCCTCAAAGGTGAAGGGGCCACAAGCCAGGGGATACAGGCGCCTCTAGAAATGAGAGCAAACCTCAGCCGACAGCCAGAAAGAAACCAGTCTTAATTCTGGATTCTGTCAACAACCTGAATGAGCCTGGATGGAGATTCTCACCCAGAGACTCCAGGTAGGAGCCCCAGGCAGCTGATTCCCTGATTTCAGCCTGGTGGGACCCAGAGCAGAGAAACAAAACCTACCAACTTCCGACCAACAGAACTCTGAGATAATAAGTATGTGTTGTTTTAAGCCACTAAAGGTGTGGGATTTCTTTCGCAAACAACAGGAAACTAATGCGTATATAGTACGCTAACAAGTGCTGTGGAGAAAAATTAAACAAGGAAGAGGCTGTAGAGAGTGTGGATAGTCAGGAAAGGCTTCACTGAGAAGGCAACACTTGAGTCCACACCCGACAGGGGAAAGAGAACCAGCCCTGAGAATATCTGGGGGGAGAGCTTTCTAGGCAGTGGAAAAACAGTAAGTGCAAAGGCCCTGAGGCAGGTGCATGCCTGATGAGCCTGAGGAAGAGCAAGGAGGCGAGTGAGGTTAGAGCAGAGAAGAGAGGGGAATAATAGTAGAAAATTACATCAGCACCCCACAGAGGGTGGGCCCTGGGGGCCAAGGTGGCATGGGATTCTGGGTGTCCTTGTAAAGAATTCACCTTTTAAAAAGCACAAGATGGGGCTTCCCTGGTGGTGCAGTGGTTGAGAGTCCGCCTGCTGATGCAGGGGACACAGGTTCGTGCCCCGGTCTGGGAAGATCCCACATGCCATGGAGCAGCTGGGCCCGTGAGCCATGGCCACTGAGCCTGCGCGTCCGGAGCCTGTGCTCCGCAATGGGAGAGGCCACAACAGTGAGAAGCCCGCGTACCAAAAACAAAAAACAAAAAACAAAACAAAACAAAAAATAAAAAGCACAAGATGGCACAACAACATGGATACATCTCACAAACATAATGTTGAAGAAAGGACACCAGACACAAAAGAACACATATCGCAACTCCATTTATACAAAATTCAAA